GAGCTTTACACCTGCGTTAGGTTTCTGCCTTGTTGAACCTTTCCTCAGCTTCTGCCGGGCTCCCCGCCGCAGCTCCTTCCCCCCCTATCAATGTCAATCTGTCAGAGGAGGAGGGAGTCGGCGGCGTCGGCTCCTCTGCTGCTCGGCCCTAGCCATGTGTCTGTAATCATTCTGGCTGTTGCAGTGCCGATTGGTGCTCCTGTGTCGGGCCCCGCTGTAGGTGAGTGATCAGCCGTTCTCTGGGATACACAAGTCTGCCGTTGATCAATTGCCCCATTAATCCAGCAGCAGAATGGATAATGCACGGCTGGCAGGGATACACACTCCAGCACAGCGACACGGGCACGTGTTCTCACTTTGCAGTGCTTGTAAAACATCCCCCCGAGGTTGTTTTAGGTAATAATGTTTTACATGGATGATGTCCTCACAATTTGCATAATGCCATACCTATTTTAGAACTGAATCTTACCTTGCGTCACAAGAAGCAAAGCTCTCACTCTGATGATGCTCTGGATTAGAACGCAGCGTTCAGGATGATGAAACAATCGTTCAATGCATCCAGGAAATGATCAACGTGATGCCAAATTAATTTGCACGGTTTTGGAAATGTTGTGAAAGCAAATCTCGCAATTGTCCTCAATTAAGGCATAAGACGCATGTGATGCAACTGTGGGCTGCAGATGACTCGTCCGTTTTGTCTACGATGAGCGAGTCATCGCCCGGTTTTCGTCCGCTTGTGGTATTCAGGCTTCTGTGTTTTGCACATGGTTCACACGGTCCAGTGAAATGGCTGTTCGGTCTTTTCATCATGAATTAAAAAACATTAAATCTGACACTGAATCCGTGCAAATCATCAACACTGACATTTGCTTTGCACCAAGTCTGGCTGCAACTGTGAAGTTAATATGTAATTTATGTTTTTTACAGTTCTCCTCATTGTCCTGGAGCAACACAGAAACTGTGTGCCCATGCTATTAGAGCGTACATTTTGTATGTATTGCATCGTGCACCCACAGCATTAAATCTATCATCAAGAAAGATAATCATAGAATCTAAACTCACTTATTTCTATAATCAATATTTTTAAACTTCACAACCTCCCACCTTTTTATTTCCAAATTAAAGTTGCATGTACAGTCACACCACCGAAGAACAACTTACATCACGACTGCTGGTTAAGAAGATAAAGCTGAGCAACGCACACACTTATTAGGTGTCAAGTGTGGTTGTGCTCGCTGGTGCTCTCCCTCCCTGCGCTCTATCAGGGTCACTGTCTGCACACAACGACTAAACTCTGACGCACTTCTCGACCGGTCTCTGAGGTTAACGCGCTCGGTAAAGTCTCCCTCTCTCGTCAGCTTGGCTCTACTGCTTCTCTCAGCACAGACAGTGCTCTACGTTTATCCCACACTGCATTAATACGACAGTATGCGACCGAAATTGTGTCCTCTGTGCCCGCGTCTCTACATCCACTCACCGTACCTGCGACGCCGAAATGTCCCTGACACAAATAAATGAATCTAAACGAGGTGGAGGAACGATGAGTGAGGATGGAGCAGGACTCTCCATCATCCTGTCTCCCAATCACCCACCATGATTGAGGCCAATCAGTGGCATCGGGACCTACTTCTCTTTCTACCTCTTCTACTCTCCATTTGTGACCCATTGTAAAAACCATTAGCCCTCGACTCCGAATGCAATCCTCCCCCACAGAATCATCCCGCGCTGCACCCGCACTTAATTGAGGTTTTCTAAATCCTCTTCTCTTTACCTACGGCTCGGTCATGGCGAGATTGTATCATCCATAAACATTACGTCTGTGTGTGAGCTATTGTGTGTGCGTGCATGTGGACGCCTGCAGGGAACAGCCCTGTCGCCCCGAGGAAATATTTTCCCTCACCTTTCAAGATAACTGCGGAATGTAAAAAGGACAACCTGGGCATGCAGAGCCCAACGTCCTGGTTAATTCAATTTCATGACATTTTCATATTAATGCATTTCCATTTTGTGTTTTCCTACTGTCATAACAAAAATTCATATTAAACACCCAAGCATTTGACCTAAAGCTATTCTGGAAAGCCTCAAGGTTCCATGTTCTTAAAACCACGTGTGCTTGAAAAAGGTCAGAAAATCATTAACGTCACGGCCGAGAAAGATGTTCTTGTAATTTTACTTGTCCCAGAAGTTGACAAGATGAGTGAATTGGCTCGTCTGCAGCAGAGGATGTGTGGGTGTACCCTCTGCAGGGAATCTTTCCACTTTGCGAGGCTCGACCTCACAGCAAACATGTCAAGAGTAAGACATCACTGACAAAACTTGAAATAACAGTCTGCGGCCGTGGCAGTGGCTCCGTGAGGCTGTAATACTCGCAGTAAAGAAAATGAAATTGAAGGATGGCTTGTGGAGAGTTTGAGGGGAGATAAATATAAAAGTGGTCGTGGCCAGTATGGCAGCAGTTATGTTTACCAATGTCATCACTTGAGTTATCACAGTCTGCTGGATTTTATGGCAAGTCCTAAATTTATTGAAGTCATCAATATTTCACTCTGGACCGAGCAGCGTCGTCTTCACTACAACGTCTTGATGCGTCCATGTCCAGTTAAAACTGATATTTTTTGATGATGATCTATTCCCTTGTTTAAATTTGTGCCTAATGTTCAACTTTTGGGTAAAAGCTATTTATTTTACCTCCAGTCACGAGAGAAGACGAGCTGATGTTCTTCTTCAACACTCCAAAAAAGCTGTTGCACTCTTCAGCCAGTGGCAGAGAAGGAGAAGAAGAAGGAGAAGTGATTTCCGGTTGTGTAGCGTTAGCCTGAGCTAACTAAAATGTCAGCAAATATATATATATATATAATTTAGCAGTATGTCCTAGTTAAATGATGATGTGTACCATTAGACAGAGTTCAGTTTTTAAGGGGTGGCAGCTGCACAAAGTTTGTAGAACCAATAAATGAAAGAGCACAAGTGACACAAGGACAAACTGCAGCAGCAAACTGATTTCAACGATGCAATAAATTGAAAATGGCTGCTCCGAAACTAGAAAGACGACCAATAATCTTCATATTCCTTGTTGTCTTTTACTAGATGTTTCTATATTCTATTAAATGCACTGGTGACAGGTTTGTTCTTGGCATCGTAATCCAGAAGGAAAGAAATGGTATCGCAACATCTCTATTTATTGTCTTAGTCTTGACGCCGCTAAGAACAGATCCAGGATTTATCGTGTTTTCACAGATCAGAGTGGGGTAACGTGACCCACAGGAACCTCCGGTTTGCACAACCTGAGGCATTTTGGATCTGGTGACACACTTCTGCCCGGGAGATGTAGTGAGCACCGTCGGAACCATTAGTCACCGGGAGACGGGTCGGAGCGCTGTCTCGGCTGTCTGCCTCAGATCGGCCCGCAGAGGCTCATCTGGCTCTAATGATAGCGAGGTGCGAGCCCGTGGACGCTTCCTGCTTCACCTGTGACCCATTGTGTTTCTTCAGCAATGGGCAACTTGTGGCTCGTGAGTCGCACCTGCTCCCTGCAGCTCCGCGAGGAAAGACCAAGATTTTACTGTGCATTAGTCAAAATGTCTGAAATACATATACGTGGGGGGGGGGGTACTTGATGGACTCGTTGATCTGTATCGAAGAAGAAAGCTCCGGCATGAGTAAAGTAATTTTCATGATTTCAGCTTTTACTCATCAAAAACAGCCAACGATGGCGAGCACAACAACGCACGGTGTCCCTGTGTGTGACAGCTCAGGCGAACTGATGTAAATTGATGTGATTATACCACCAACCCTGTGGTTAATAGCTGACTGACTCTGTTACCTGAGTTACAGCTGCCATACTGTGGCTATTCAACTCCCACGTTATCAAAAATTCATCACAGGTACCGGAAAAGCAGCAGTGATTTATCAATTACCATAAAATACCAGGAGTGTAATGAATGATTTATTTCCGCGCTCACATCAAAACAGGCCCAACAAATAGCTTCATGAAAAAGGGATGAAATGTAAAAACACGGAAATGAAAGATGTGCGTCCGATTTAAAAAGAAATAAATTAAAAATTTAATTGGCATATTATTATTATTATAACATTCTCAGTGTGCGATGTCTGATGAATGTTGTTTGTGTGGTAAAGGTCACGTTGTGTGCATCACGTATTCAGATCTTTTCTAAAGTTCGTCCTCCAGGAAAACTTTGACCAAATTGCACTTGTGTTGCATAACAAAACATGGCTGCCTACACAACATGTGTGCACACATGCCACCACTAAGCGCTGCTCAGAAGTCATCAGAGGTGCATGGTCTAAATTTAATTTGTATAGATCACATTCACAAGTCACAGTTTGTCTCAACAAAACCTCAAAGGATGATAAAAGATTAATAACCTGCAACATTTGTCATCATGTTCGTGGTCTCCGGTGTTTTTAAAATCAGTTTTGATAAACCTCCTGCGTGCAGCAGGAGGTTTAGGCGTTAGTGTTAATAAGAGTTTTGCATTTTGATTCAGAAACATTGTCGTCTCCAGCTCGTTTCCTGTCCCTGCCGCTGTGACATTAAACTGTTTCGTTGGTTTATTGTAAAGAAAATACTTCACATCAACACGATTACCACAGAAAAAATAAACTAATGTTGATCTGATATCTCATCAGCTCCCTGTGCAGTAGAGCTTCCTGTTCTAGATAACAAAGCAGACTGTTGTTTTAAACTCCATACAGACGGATCATGTTCGTCGCCCTCTGCTCACGTGAAACACCCAGAACACAAAATGATCATTTCAGGCTCTGGACTCTGAGGAGGGAATATAAAGTGCGAACCTCCCTGACTGCAAACCTGTCTGAAATCACAGTGACGACCCTCTGGCCTCTCCACACGTTCCCATTGGCTTCCTCTCGTTGCATTTTATTGGGGGGGGGGCGGCGCTGCCTCGTCACTTCAACTCCAAGCACCTGGGCCCCTCGCTCCTCAGGCTCCATAAAAGCTGCAGGGCACGCAGCTCCTCTCGAGTTCACTCACGTGTTCGCTGGTTTTGTTGCTGTGATGTATGTTTCTGTTTGAGCCGCTCACTTGTTGCATGTTTTCGAGCTGTGTAGCATCAACAATTAAAACTCTGAAAGTCCTGAACTATTAGATCTTCTTTAAAAACTATGGGTGAAGGGGTTTAACCCAACTAATCTAATATGACGACAGTTTGAAATGTCACCATCGTGTTATGTAACGCTGAATTCGTCCACGTCCGGCCCCTCGGCGTGTTCACACGCCGTCACACTCTTCAGTCTCACATTCGCACCATTTCAGATCTTCTAACCACAAATATCTTCAGTTTTGGGCTCTGTTCCTTTCTCCTTTCCTTTGAATTGATGCTTGATATGGTAATTTACCAGTTGAGGGCTTTTCGTGACCCCATTAAAGAGCGACTGTGACAGAACCATGGCTAATTCTGTCTCCTGTAAAATTCACACCAGCTTTTATTTCATCCAAAACACTTAAATCTGTTTCCTTCCTTTATCAAGTGCATCGTTTAAGTGACGGTTTCACTTTGTAAACTCCAGACCGAGAGTGCCTGCTTAGTGTTTTTTTTTCTTACTATTGAATATTATTGCATCACCAAAAACTTGCGATTCACATTTTCTTTGTTGCTGTGAAGATAAAAAGACTGAGATATTCGAACGCTGTGCAGTGTTTGACACGAACAGTATTCACACCTCATGAAACTAAATTTGAATCTTCTCATAGACAAAGTTTTATGCACCTTCTTCCTTTTGTTGTGTCCAGTGAACCGGTCAGAGGAATTAGTAATGACTTCAAACACTAACAACAATATCTTGTTTTCACATTATCAGAATCAAAAAGGGGAAAAAGTAATGTTCAGTTTGTCTCCAAGTCACTAATATTCACTCTGATCTTACAATAAGTGTCATCACGACCAGCGGCCACGTCTGTTGCACTGATGTAATGTGAATAATATCGGTGAGTTATCCAATAAGAAGCAGAAAACCTGACGTGTTGACACTCTTCAAAATAAAGCAGTGCTCTTAGTTCATTGCCAGTCCTGCCAGGTAGCTGATTACAGATAATTACATCACCTTGCTCCTCTGGTGTAATTCAGACTCTGATTAGATGTCTGCATCGTGCAGCGGGAGGTCACTGGATCCATAAGGACCCAGAATTAGCATCAGTCAGCCCTGAGTCATTAACTCACCCGTCGAACGCTTCCAACGAATCAACCTTTTCTTTCCCTCTTCACAGAAAGAAAGGAGGAAACCATTTTGTGTCGACGATATAAGTTGTTTTTTCCCCAAAACCTCCGGCTGCTCACTCAGATTAAAATTTGGATTTATAGACGAGTGCTGCAATAAAATAAATAAAAAAAGGCCAGTTCTGGGTTATGATAGCATTTTTCTCCAGAACAAGCAAAAAAAAAAAAGAATAAATACTTTACACTGCGAATACTTGACATTTAGATTTTTTTTTTTCCGTAAAAACAACTTATTATTCCGAATAATCATCTATATTAGTGCGTGTTGAATATTTATTGGCTTTTTGACCATTTTTCATTTTGCTCTGTGTTGGCAGGTTTGCAGGGGACAAAACCACATTAACGCTCACAAAGAAATTCAATTCACATTTAATTATAAACGGAGGAATCTTTTGTTCCCCGTCTGAGTCCTCGCGGGTGAATCTCGCCGCTCGGAGACTCCCTCTGGGCGACGCAGGGTAACGACACCGTGACATCATCAAGGGTCACGCTGCGGCACCAATGAAAGAAAACTGCATACATGACACGCAACGGTGGACGAAATCCATTTCCTCGCCCGCAAAGGTAATTTAACTTTTCCCTTAGCATGTTTGTCTTGTCATGTCTGCGCGTATAATGGTTGTTTTATTCATACCGGCAGGTTCCATTCGCTGCCCACTGTATGATATACATTTCATGAGACAGTGGGAATTACAAATCGTGCAAATTCAAACAAAAGTCATTATTTGTGGCAGCTACACATATTTTTATTTTTTTTTATGTTAATGCAGTTTCTCATCGAAGCTTCTCAGCCTCCACGGTGAAATGTGAGCGGGATATTTAAGGTAAAGTCATTTCAAACAGAATTAGATGAGGTGTACGATTATTTTAGCATATAATCAAATTTATCCTCTCTTTAATTTCGAGGATACATTTCTCTTTCGCTCAGCAGATCTATCCTTTTTATGAGACTATACACTAAACCTGACTGATCAGTAATTGTTTTTCCACACTGAAGCAGGCAGTGATTTAATGCCTCCCTCCTTTTGCTTTTCTCTTTTTTTTCCCCCCCGATGTCATCACTCGTTACACACAAAGGAAATGCACAGGTACAGACATTTCTCAAAAAGCTGGCGCTGCTTAGCTGCAGACGTGCGCGTGTTTTAACGCGCAAGCACATCCGTGAGCGAGAAGGCCCACGTTTGATGAGGAGGACTTTAATTTAAACTGCTGCACTAAGCCCGTTGTTCCACTGAGGCTGCAGGAGAGTGATTGACAGCTGCTGTGGCTGTCTCCCGGTCAAATATTGTGTTTTAGCAGCCAGCTCGCATAATGTGGTGGGTGTCCACTCTCAGTGAGAAGTAACACTCACTGAAATATAAAACTGTTTTCTTTCTTCTTTTCTTTTCAGCTGACAGGATTTAGACTCTGCTCAGCTTCTCCTCGACCATCGTCGGTATTTTAAAGAAACCAAATGTCTAGTGAAAGAATTCAAGTGATTCTTTGTAAAGTGCACAGATTTGTTTTGATTTTCCAGACACATCGGTTAGTGCATGAGTGGGCGTGCGGCTCCGTCACCTCTCAGCACAGACTGCTGTTAAGGAAATGAAATGAATCACAATAATAAAGCAGTAAGATTATATTTAGCGTGCTTGTTCATACTTTTAATTAAGTTCTTATTAGTTGTTTATCAAGGGGAATCAAAGTTGTGATTCAGTTGTCGCCTGCAGCCTGAGAGACATTTGGTTTTAATGTTTATATTTTAAACGCTCTCTACTAAGAAATAACTCCGAACGTTTGCAGGAATAAAATAAGAATGACATGCCGCTAAAAGAAATATGACACTGGAATTAAACAGAGCAACAATAAAGTTCACAGTTGGATTTAGTATTCCTGCACAGTCGATGCATCTTCCTCTCGGTAACTTGACCTTTCACGCAGAAAGAATCCTGCGACAAATCAAAACTGCACTGATCCAAAGTATCTCTGATATTTCAGTTACGCACAAACTTCACCTGAATGAACTCAAAGCACTTAAATGTCGTGAGTTGTGTACTTCATCATGTTTTATCTTTATCAAAGTGTTTTTTTGTGCAGGTGAAATATTCAACTTTTCATTCTGCATCATTTTTCTGTGTCTGTGTGTTATTTGCTGCTGGAGCAATAATTTGGCCCAAGAACAGTTTGGTTTATTGTTTCATTTTATTTTATTTGATGAATCATTCTTTGAGAGGAGCAAAACTTTAACGGAGTGAAATACTTAGTTTACTTGTTGACCTGTCAAGTACTTGTTATGTAATCTTGGCAAACAGAGGAGGCGAAGACAAAACCTCCTTTATGAACTTGAAATAGTGTTTTGCATCAAGAGTTCAATGTATTTAACTTTTATATGCACACGGCTTATCATCACTTCCTGTCCGCAGGGCTCAAACACTGACCTGAGAACAATGAAGCTGCAAAAGTCACGTCAGGACAAAAGTTGCTGTTTTATAAAACTTATCACTTTCGTGGATTTACATATTCAGACGATATCGAGTTTAAACCTGACGCTTGACCCTCAAACTAATCCCTGCTTTCCCGCCGGATATCACATGAACGTGCTGAGAGCGGGCGAAGCGGAGGAAACTTGCATCCTCCGTATGACTTACATTGTGATTTCAGTTGCTTTTCATCTTTATTCCACAGAGCGGCTTTATGACAGACCTGTTGTGAGACGAGCATTAAAGTGTCAAGAGACGAACGAGCTTTCATTCTGGAGCGGGCTGACAATTTTAGAGCCGCAGTGCAAGATCTGTTTCCACCCTTTTTAAAGCCCTTTGCCTTTCTTTTTCTCACAGCGGGACCGTGACTCCAAGTTTCAAAGAAGAAAATTAGACTCTGTGACTTGCTTATGACGGAGCACTGAGGAAAAAGATGGAGCTGAATTGGTGTATAATTGTTCACAGCTGCTCGCTGTGCCCACCTGACAAAAGATAATTCAGTATCGTGTATTAGATATTTTCTAAATCCTCTGAGATCCAGGCTCAGTTCTTTTTGATTTCATTGAACAGGCTCTTGTTTAACATTGGATCAGGAGAAACTAGAAATAGGTTCCTGCTCCCGTCCACACACGTACATCGTCCGAGGCCAATTCTGAAATACAACACACACGTAATGAGTTCGAATAAAAAGACGCAGCATCAAGATCAACAGCAAAACAGCAAATTTGATGATTTAACACGTTTTCTAGGAACAGGATAAATATTTGAATCATTTAACATAATGAATATTGATGCCTGTGTCGACGCATGTGATTATTTTGTGAGCTGAAGAATATCTGAATTCACATGCACAGTATCCAGCACATGTCAGTGGGTGTGATAAATAAAATAAAGGTTTTATTGTTGAAATTCTCCTCATGTCCCGACAGCATCGATACATAGAAATAGAAAAGTAGTAATAGTCTTACCAACCCTAAGAGTTTATTCCGTACATGTCTATATATATATATATATTCCACAACCAAACCTCAAAACTATAAAGTGCAGCCATTTTCTCAAAGATTTACTGTTTTAAATGTGTTTGCATCTTCATCGTGGCAACTTGACCTTAAGGCTGAAACAATCTGAATGTATCAGAAGTGTCCTGCTCCCTCATCGTTTTCTTTTTAAAGCCGCTCACGGGTTTTACGGGCCGCAGGACCCGAATACACCGACAACTCAATTTCTGCTTTTTGGTCAGAGGTTGTGAAACGTGCAACAAAGATGGAAGTTTATCTTCATTGTCCTTAAACGAACTGTTTCCCTCCGATTTGATGAACTAAACACAGACTGTGGCGAGAAAGACGAGTCCAATTGGGTCAAATCCAATCCCAGAGCACTTGAAACAGACTTGTCAAGAGGCGTTTTAAAGAGGAAACAAAAGCTGCGGACGCTTTAAAAGACCAAATAACAATAATGGATAATAAAACAAAGGAGGCAAACGGCATAAATGCATCACTAATGACTCGGAAACGGGGCCAGAGACTCTGTGGTGAGAGCGTTGAGAATAAAAATCAGAAAGCTCCCGCTCAATAGGATCCGTGTTGTTCGTATAATTTGCCCCCGAAACAGAAAATCGTCAGGTTGAGTTGACCTCCTCTTCACTGGCGCTGAACACAGGCTTCCCACGATCAAACCGTCCGAGGCCTAATGCGTCCCAACATTTAATAAACTCTACAAACCGTGTGAATTAGCTGTCACATCAATGCGAGCGCTGCACTTAGCCTGCACAGCTTCCGCCGCCTGATGTTTCAATAGAGTTGAAGAGAGGTTTTATCCTGCAGCATCATCACTAATGCATTTCTGCCAGCACACACACAAAAAACAGACATTCAGGTGATAAATCATCCTGCACTGGTTTTCAATTTTCTCTTTATTGTAGAATCAAGAGAGGATAATTAATTTAGCAGCGTGCAAAGATGGCTTCCCTGTGCTGTACATATAAATCACTCTTCTTCTTCTTCTGTGGTGAGATCAGCATATTTTGAAATGGATTTCATATCGCAATAAATCAAAAAGAGTTTCGCGTCTTCGTCAAAGCTGAACTTGGCAAATTTTATAGGTGAAATAAGAGAAAACCGGTAAAAAATATAAAGTGGTTCTGGTCACTATTCACTGTTTTCTAACGAGGTTCATTTGGTCTAAAAGCTTCTGAATCTTTCTAAATGAGACTATCAAATGTTTTCATCGGGTATAGACACTTTATCTGTTCCATCTCACTTTAGACCTTCTCCCTCTCGTCCTCTCTTCCCGATCGCAGGAGGGAACATGGTGCAGTTTGCTGATATCAAATCACACGACTTCTGGGGATGGAGGGCTAATGCTTTAAAAAAACAAGTTCCCAACTTAAGTTCCCTCACAAAGAGAAGCCTCCTCACGTGATGCGTTGAATGAAATGAAAGTTTTCCTTGTAATTCACTGTCGAAAGAATTATATGATGATGATTATTGAACTTTAAATTGGGCTGAATACCCCTGAGATGTGGAACGTGCAGAACATTTACTATAAATTCAGATGTTTATTTCCCAAACTGAAGATTTCATCTTGTGGACCAGGTATTTTCAGGTATTGCAGTGTTGAGTTTGCCCTCCGGCCTGTTGGGTGTGTGCCTGGTGATTCACTGTCGCTGCCTTCAGGTGACGTTTAACGGGTTTAAAGTTATGTGTCGAAAAAACAAAAATCTTTTTTTGCATTTCAGTTTGTTTTTATGAGTAAAACTTTTCTTTGCATTGGTATTGAGTCATATTACAAAAACCCCCTCATCAATGTTTCAACATTTCCCCGACAAAGATGGAAACTGTGTTAAATTATAAAGGTGACTACCCTGGATTTGAATTATTTCTTGTATAAATTATGATCCGGTACGAATGCAGACACTCGAGTAACCATGAAAATAACGAATCTCCTGTCAGCACAGCTCCCGTCTTGTTTGGAGTGACGAGACTTTACATTTCCTTAAGAAGGCCCCTTCTTATTTATCTCCTACATGCTCAGTAATTACAATCTGTTTCCTCAATTAGCAGGAAAGCAGATGCATGATGTGTCCCAGCACCACTGGCTTCACACAGAGCGGCCGGGGGTCGTAATCACACTTCTCTCTAATGTGTTTACGTTCGTCGAGATGTTTACAGCTGCATCTCTGTATCTCCACTTTGTGAATTCAGTGCGGTGTTGAGTGCAAATCTTCTTCTTTGACCTCTACGCACATTCGCACCATCATAAATCTGTCTACGTGGAGGGAGACATGCTCTGAATGCACGGCTCGCCATGTAAATCAATCGTCCCTGCAGGGGGTAGAGCCCAGCTTCATATAATACTGAATACTGAGCCGTAGCATTCTGACTGTCGGCTTCTCCACTGGGTTTGTGTTTTGTACACAGGCCAGAAAATAATAATGAAGTGTTTACACTGCACATGCTTTTCTACTGAAATGACCTCAAAACACTTTTTGATTTGCATAATGAAATTATTTTAAACACATTTTAAGCAATAAACAACATCCCACACAGAAAGCTATTTACTGAATTATTATATAATCAGCGGGTAATTATTGATAAAGGACACCGGGGTTGGAAATGTGAACACAACAATAAATATATTATCAAAATGTCAGAAGGTTTAAACTTCCTCCACTGAAAAGACAATCACGTCTGTCATTTAGTTTTTCACTTCTCTAATTTCTTCTTTAAACAAACTAACATTAATGTTAATGTGGTTTTTGGTTTTCTCTTGCTAAGCTGTTTATGGTGAACTCCTGATTTATTTACGTCAGATTTAGTTTTCATTCATTTCTGTCTTGGCCTTTGTTCTTCACCTCCTCGTCTGCAGACATCAGCTGGATTTCATCGCTGAGTTATTGAGCAATTAGATGCATTTTTATTTTGGCCCCGAAACTAAATTTACAAGACCACTTTGCTGCTATAACCGGTTCTATATAACAGCTAAGAGCCCATTGTGGAGGCTGCCTTTGTGTTTATGTTGCACTTTCACTCTTTTCTCTGCGCGGCCCCTAAAAACAAGACGAAGAGTCATTGAGCCTTTCAGGCTGAAATAACTTTCTTTTGCAGATTCACGAGATTCATCGTCTTTAAAGTCGATCACGTCCTAAAGAAATGTAGTTTGTCTTGTGAAATCAGAGTAGTCACTGTTAGTATAATATATTTATGGTGAATCACTTTTTTTAGTCAACAACTCGAAGCGTTTTACAAAACAAGCCACGTTCAGCGTTGCCATGTTGTGTTTTTCACACACGTTGTCGCTGAGAGATTTTGGATTCAATATCTTCAGCAGACTGGAGGAGGCGGGGATCGAACCACGACCGCCTGGTTAATGGAGGAGTTTCTTTTATGGGTTAAATTATATTCCAGTATAATAACTGCTTTTGGAAACAGAATTTCTGGGAGAATCAAAGGAATCCATGTTCTTCCGAGTTGGATGAGGATAACAGACAGTTTGTAATGTGACCCACTAACTGTGAATGTGTGTCTTTCATTTCCTTTCCTTTGTTTCTCTGCAGCTTCTCTAGTTTTCCTTCTTTTTATGTCGGTAGGTATAAAAATCTCGTTTGGTTTTTTTTTTTTTGGAAAAGCTCCTGAAAGAAACATTCGCTTCAGGGGTTGAACAGCGGTGCAGGGGAAAATAAAGAAAAATAAAGATTCTGGTTCACGTTTTTTTAATGCCTTTATCTGACAACGTGAAAACAATTTGTCTGATTCGCAATAACACATTTGTTTGGTTTATATTTCAAATGCAACACAACCTTAAACCAGCTTGGACAAACATCTGCAGGGGAGAAAAACCTCCACGTTTCTCCACTTGGATCGTTGGACTGCACAGAGGCTTTAAACACGAGCCACCATCTGTGAATGTCTGACTTCCAATCGGCCTGTGTAGTCGAGATACCGGCTCCGAGCCAACGTATACGAGGCATGAGGGTTGTGTAGTTGGGTTTTTTTGTGGAGAACATACAAAGTATTGGCAGCCTGGGCACTCTGCTCGTCCTCCGTCCTTTTCCCTTTTTCAAACGAACAATGGCAGCTCTGTGGTTCCCCGGTGAGTGACAGAGATGACAGCGGGTCATCCTTTCAGCGCAAACATGTTTGTTGCGGGTGAATGACAGGATGACAATGAAATAGTCAGGTTTCCCCCCCCCCCCCCCCCCCCCCCCTTCGATACGACGCAGGAACAATTTTCCCCGACACAAGACAAAGCTACCATTTGAGAAGATGTGCTGACACCTGCTATAAGAGGACGAACGATTGATACCAGGAAACACACTGCAGGGTGCCGAAATGCAACTTCAATGCAATAAACGCTTATTCTCTAATTTTGTGAATTTGGGGGGGAAAAAAAAAAAAGTGCAACTTCATGTCTCTGTTGCTGTCGATGATGCCCAGGGGGGGAAATTAATTTTTCAAAGGTGTTTTTGTTTCCGTGTTCTTCCTCAGAAAAAAATGAGACCGTACAAAAACCAAATTCATTGATTGCTCCTCAAAGGGATTTAGCATCTTGTTCAAGGGCGGTCGGACGCTTTGCTGTCATGGGTGTTTGAATCCGGGCCATGTGGTTGATGGACGGTTGCACTAATTTAAGTCCTTGCTCTTTTTTTTTTTTTTTTTTTGTTGTTGTTTTTCAAATCCTCACCAGTGGATTTAAATGAGTCTCAGTTCATTGAACACACAAAGAAGAAATTGCTTGAGAAAAAGATTTTATGGAGAAAAATCAGAAAGTGTGTCTCTCAACTGTGAGACCAGGTTCTATTACATAACATTCAAATATACAACCTGCAGTGAAGGTACTTAAACTATACGACTAAATATCAGTGGACTCATCCATAAACATGCACCTGATAAATTATAGAGGCAGAAAATCCAAAGTTGTGTTGCCCCTTTTTGATAAAATCGATTAAAATTAAAGGAAAGGA